TCTGATCGAGGCCAACGGACATGGAGGTAGAGACGAGGTTGCCGAGGAGGCCGAGGGATCCGTCGAGCTGCTGCGTGTTCATCTGCCTCCTCGACCGCAGCATGCTCACGCAGCTCATCGCTGACGCCTCCTGCACGGCCGTTGCAAACGCTGCCACCTCTACCTTGTTCATCTGCAGCTTGTTGGCTGCCGTCTGCAGTGTGTTGAGGAGCGTGTCCTTCTCCGAGCAGGGAATGTTCCCCCCCATCCTCGCGACCGAGTAAGTCATGAGGATGATACACTCCGTATCCCCCAGCCCCACACACTCCAGCAGCTTTGCCAGCGCGTCCAGCGCCAGCAGGCGGCGGCTGGAAGAGGTTGACAGGTCCGTCTTCACCTTCGCCTGCGCGGCTGCTCGCTCCCTTCCTCCGGCCTGGTCGGTCACGTATACGATGAGGTTGACCATGTGAGCTGAGAGCCCAGCTGGGGGGCTTGGGAGGGCGGTGTCAAGGTAGTTCTTGTCAAGAGTCCCCAGGGGGATCTCGTCGGTCGGGGTGCTGGACTGAGGCAGCGCAAACCGAAACTCATAGATGAGGGGGAGGTCCTCCTCGTCGTCAACCCAGTACTTGCACTCGAGGCGGAAGACATCCAGGATGCCTCGCCCCTCGCTCGGAGAGACCGCAAAGTTGCCGCTGCTGGGGGGCGTGTTGACTTGGAAGGTGATCTCTGCGAAGGCCAGCGAGTTGCCTCCCGTGGTGGAGAGGACGGACAGGCGGAAGGTGTAGAGCTGACCGCGGGCAAGGAACCCCTCCTTGATCACCAGGTTGCTGAGGGAGAGGGGGGTGGACACCTTACTGGGGTAGTCCAGTAGGAAGTCTCCTTGCGTCTGCGACCACTGGAGCTGGTACCCAGCTGCTGGGGAGCTGAGAATCGAGCTGGACAGGACCAGCCTCTCTCCTGGGTTCACCTTGCGCTTCATGATGGGGGCGATGCCGGCGCTGGCGGAGGCGGCGGGGATGAGCCACAGGCGGGCAGAGGCGGACGCTATCCTGGGGCCGGGCTCCTTCATGAGAGTGACGGAGAAGGTGTAGAGGCCGGGGGAGAGGAGGGAGGAGTCGAGGGAGAAGAGAGGAGAGTTGACGATGAACGCTGAGCTCTGGGGGCCGAGGCAGTCCTGCCCCGTCTCCCCCTTGCACGACCAGGAGAACTCTGTGTTGGAGGAGGTGATGGCCTGCCCGTCAAAGTCCAGGGAGGTGCTGGCGTTGAGGACGATCAAGTCTCCCCAGCTGATGCTCCTGTCGCTGCCGTCGATGCTCGCCTTCATAGGAGAGAAGGCACAAACAAGCTTCACCGTCTGCATGCCGTAGCTGGAGGGGTTGCTCCGCATACTGCCCTTCAGCTGGAAGGTGTAGTTGTACCCAGCCTGCAGAGTTTGCGATGCGATGAAGAGGCTGCGGGTGTTCTTGGTCTTGTCGTTCAGGGGGAAGGGAGGGAGGGAGGGAGAGACGTCGACTAGGGTCCATTCGTAGTCCATGGTCGGGTCGCTGCTCGACGAGCAGTTAGAGAGGAGGGCGTACCCCCTTAGCCTGACCTCGTCGGCGCTGAAGACGCTCTTCTCGGGGGGTCCCTCGATGATGACGATGGGGGAGGAGGAGGAGACTTTCGTGATGGTGATCTCAGCCGTGCTCGACTCGTCCAGGAAGTTGGTGACTCTGACCATGAAGGTGTAGTTGACTCCCAGTTCCAACAGGTCTGTCGGTATCGTCAGCTTCTCCCTGTCGTAAGGAGGAAGGTTCTGGTTCAGGATGTAAGTCCGCAGCGTCACGTCGTTGCTCACTCCCGGCAGAGCTCCGTACACGAACTGGAACTTCCTCCCTCCGGAGCCGTAGGAGGAGGAAGCGTCGAGCACGAGCGAGTCGCAGGGCCCGATGATGGCTGGGCCCTTGAGGATGGCAGAGGGCTTGACTGGGTTGAGCGGCCGCATGATTCTCGTCCTGCCGCTCACAGCAAGCGACGTCTGGAAGCACATCCCATTGCTGCAAACCTCTTTGCGGTGAATCCCCCCGTAGCCCACGTCGACGGCAGCAGGGGCGGAGAACAGCCCGCGGACCTCATCGAGGAAGTTCAGCTCCTCGTTCATCTGCAGCGTCGCTCCGAAGGCGAGCTCGACAACCAGGACGGTGGTCGAGGCAAAGAAGCAGGCGGGAGAGTGCGTGGCGTCCGACATCTTGGCCAAGGAGGAGGCGTCGAAGAGGAGGGAGCAGTTGAACGTGTCGTACTGCAAGCCTCTGTCACTCTCGTCGCTGAACTGGATGGAAATTCTTCCTCCGGACGCGTCAAACTCTGAGGACACGATGGCGGGAGCTTGACTGAGCGACACCGTCGGGCATCCCGTGCAGTTGCCGAAGGGACACGAAGCGCCGCAAGGGTCGCCGGGCAGCCTGGCGATGTCCGACGAGCCCAGCTTGACATGCATCACAAACTCGCCGGGCATGGCAGACAAGTAGGAGATGCTGATGTCTCCTGCTGCTGAGATCGCGTACGAGGCAGCGACAGTGACGTTGGTGACGTTGAGCTTCGCTGCGTCCTTGCAGACCGTCTGCTTGCCACATGGAGCATAATAGCGCATGAGGTGCGGGATGAGCGGATCCTGACGGGCGAAGGAGATCAGAGTTACCGAGAGGTCGAGCGAGGAGGAGGAGGAAGCTTTGACGTCGTTGAAGAACTGATCACGAAGGAACAGCGAGAACGTGGTTGCCTTGCCCGCCTCGCTGTAGTACGCGCCAAGGCCGCTAAGGAAGCAAGCAGAGGGCTGCATGGCGGCAGAGGAGACGTAGACCGAGAACGGGCTGCCGAAGATGGGCTTGGTGAACATCATCACATCCAACCTGTAGTTGCCAGAGACCGTTAGAAGGATGGGAGAGAAGTACACGCTGCTGTCCTTCTTGAAGCTGAAGTACAGGTCCTGGTTGCCCGACACAAACCCGTCAAAGATTGAGTCCGGCGCGTCCCCGACGATGTTCTCAAACATATCCCTGGCATAGATGGAGATGTTGTGAGGGTAGCCCACAGTCCAGTTCTTGTACCAGACGTCGTTGATCGGAGCTGAGGTAGAGGCAGTGACGCTGCCGGGTCTGCACACGACGACGAAGGGAGAAGCGGAAACATACATCCCGTTGACCTTGACGTGCATGACGTAGGTGTCGCTCTTGGTGAAGATCGAGCGCAAGACAAACTTCCCGCTGTCATCGAACAAGACCAGAGACGCTGACGTTGCCTGCGTTGAGTTCTGCACCACCAGCCCCTCCACGAGAGTGTTCTGTAGCAGGCTAAAGGGAATCACGTTGTCAAACTTGTCACGGATGGTGAGGACGAGGTCATATCGCAGCCCGACAAGAGCAGAGGAGGTCGAGCACGACGGGCAGGCAGCCATGGCGGAGGCAGACAGAGAGTCCACCGAGGAGCGAGAGGGATCGACGATCTCTGGCAGGATGAGGATGGATGTCGGGCTGCCAGCGATGAGGACGGGGGTGTAGACTCCTCCCACGACCTTCTGCAGCTTGACAGACAGCGAAAGAGGGCCAGAGATCTTGGAGATGAAGTGGATGACAGCGATGCCGGAGGAGGCGATAGATGAGCCGTCCCAGCAGCAGGACAAGTCCACGTTGTCGTTGCATGCCGCGCTGCTCGGGCAGGTCGTCCCGTTGGCCGTCACCTCAAACTCCGACACATACGAGTCACTCGCCCCAATGTCTTGCCCGTACGAGTTGCGGAGGACGATGTTGACAGCGGAGTACGTGCCAGCAACAACGCCATCCAACGCGGCTCCTGAGAGGGAGGTGAAGGATTCATCGACCTGGCAGGTACGTCAGTCAGAATTCAAGGAAAGGGTCGTCTTGACTCACAGCCTTGACGTCGGCGCTGGTTGGTGACGTGGCAGTGAAGGGGCTGTCGGTGATGTGCTGGGAAGAGGCAGTGATGGAGATCTTGTAGGGGGACGTGGAGTTTGCAACCCACACGATTTGATACACTCCGTTGTTCAGGTCCTGTACACTCACAGACTGTGGAGCTGGAGAGACTTCCACCTTAAGGTCTGGCTTATTTCTGCTTGTCGGGTTGCCGTACTGGTCCATTAAAGTCACGATGAATCTCGATGAGGCCATTAGGAGGAAAGTGCTCAGCCCGTACCCTGACCCTCTAACAGAAGATACAACGACGTCGCCCGGCTGGATAGTCGCACTCCTCCCGCTCCCGACGGTTGGAAGTCCAAACCTGGTAACTTCCAGCAAATAGGTTCCTAACACAGCCCAGTCACCAGCAGCATCGCCCTCTCCCTCAACACAACTCTTGCCCCAACAGAACTATCTCCCATCCCTTCTCCTCTCGCAGATCCCTCCCTCCCTCGTCCTCTGTCTCTTACCGCTTTTTGTCGCTTGGAAGGAGACCTGGAACATGCCCGACCCTGGTAGATAAGAGATGCTCCCTGCTATTGAAGTTCCCATGATCGATCGATCTAATCCGAGGAGCCTGGAGGAGAAGATGGTTCCCCCTTCCGTCATGTTGTTGCCGTAAGCGTCCTTCACGCGCAGGAGGAACATGCAGGCCTGGTCGACATTGCAGGGAGCGACCTCAGACGAGAGCACTGAGTTCGGCGGGCTGGCGGTGGAGGGGAGGATCTTGACCTGTTGCTCGAATAGGCTGAGGCTAACCCCTCCTGTCAGCAGGATCTGCAGGCGGTAGGAGCTGCTCTGAGTCAGCATGGTGGTTGTCATGTACGACCCGTCACTCTGCTGCGTCATCGACACTGACTTGGTGGCAAAGTTTGCACTGCTGATCACCAGCTGGGGTGTGAGGGTGTAGCTGACTACGTTGCCGTAGTCGTCCCTGGGGAGGAGGAAAATATCCTGCTCTATCCCAGCTACAGAGTCGCTCACGCCCGACCCATAGACTCTCGACATTCTAACAGAGACCGCGCCGGAGAGGACCAGGATCGAGAACTCCTGTCCTTGCAGCAGCTCACCGTTGAGAGTCACCCGCAGGCTGTAGGATCCCGCGATGGTAGTCATGAAGGCCCCGATGTATTCGCCGTTGTTCGTATCCACCACCGTGAAGCTTCTCTGAGCTGGGGAGGAGGTGGAGGCAGCGAAGACCTCGCCTCCCAGGGTGAGCAGGTTGTTGAACTGGTCCTTGGACTTGATCAGGAAGGAGGCGGAGTCACCGACGTTGAGCTGCTTGAGCGAGTCCAGGTTGATGGTGCTGGTGTACAGGTTGATGCTGCCGGGGTAGATCATCACAGCGTAGGGGCTGCCAAGGATATGCGCCCCTCCTCGCGTCACTTCCAGCCAGTGCTGCCCTACTGTCGGAACAGCCGGGACGGTCAGCGTGTAAGTGCCGTCGAAGTTATCAAGTGCGAGGCCCTTGCAGTTGCTAGGGCCGTAGAGCGCAAACTTGAAGGCCTTGAACCCCTCGGTGACAGGGTTGTCGTACTCGTCGTAGGAGCTGAGCTGAAACACGCCATCGACTCCAGCTGTCATCACCTTGCTGCTGCTTCCCTGCAGGCGGCATCTCGGCGTTGAGACAAGGGAGGGAGTCACCTGGACCCTCCAGGGGCTGCCGATGAGATCAACGTCGTTAAGTTTGATCGAGAGCTTGTACACGGACGCTCTCGTCACTGAGTAGCTGGAGGTGAATTGGCCGAGCTGGGAAACGAAGGAGAATGCCAGCCTAGTCGTCGTGTTGCCTGTCAAAGTTGCCACGAGGTTCAGGGTGGCGCTGTCAAGCTGGTTGCCGAACACGTCACGAGCAAAGACTCCGAAGGTGGGCTCGAGGCCGGCAATGCCGTTGTTCAACCCGTTGCCGACGACCTGGCAGCTCTCAATGTTGACGTTTCCTGCCTGAACCATGATGTTGTCGATCTGCGTGACCTGGAAGAGCGAGCCCGAGACTTCTCGCAGCTCGATCTTGAGGCTGTAGGAGCCAGCCCGGGTGAGATAGTCTGCGAGGGACGTGATCAGGATGATGATGATGATGATGATGATGATGACGATGATGATGATGAGGAGGAGGAGGAAGTATGACAGTGAAGGGTCAGCGCACAACGACTCACATGACGTCTGGTAGCTTCCATCCTTGTTGTCCACTACGTCCAATGCTTTCGGGGCGGACGACGTCGAGAGCATGGTGACATAGTACCTGTCAGGGAGGGTGTAATCGTCGTATGCCACGAAGTTGTCTGCAGGAAGAGGAGGAGAGGCTTCAGCAGAGAGGAGGGAGTCAAAGAGAACTCACCGTAGGCGTCGACGGAGACGATCGTGATGGCCTGGGATAATCCTGCGATGGTGGAGAGCTCGGAGGACTTTGAGGGGGTGAAGAGAGTCTTCCTGCCCAGGGCTGAGGTGGGGATCACCTTCAGGGAGAAGGGAGATCCAAGGACATGATTTGTTCCGAGCAGGACATTGAGCTGGTACACTCCAGCCTTCGTCTCCACGTAGCTGATGCTGTAGCTGCCGTCCTGGTTGTCCCTGGTGTACAAGTTCTGCACCACGGCTCCGCCTGAATCGGAGGAAGAGACCATCTGTGCTAGCACAGTGTCCCCTCCTGTCTGTCGGTTAAGCCCAGCGCTCGTCCGTGCGATCAGCGTCGCCTGTCCTCCTTCCCCTGCCACCATCCCCTTCAGGCTGTCTCCCACCACCACACTCTTGCTCGGGTCGGAGTACCCGTCATCTGAAGCTACAAAGGACAGCAGCCTCGGGCTCCCGCTGACTTGGATCTTGTCGAAGACGGTCAGAACCTTGAGCTGAAAGCTGCCGGCTGCTTGTGGGGTGTACTCAGTCACCAGTGTCCCGTTGCCAGCTGAGGAGAAGAGGAGCGTCTGCAGGGAGGTATCCCATTGGATCTCAGCGTTGAAGAAAGTCCCGTCCCACGTCAGCAAGGTGTTGCCGAACTGATCTCTCATGATGATCTGAAGGCTTGTCTTGCTGTTCACGAAGCCTCCGATCGATCCGGGCCCGGACAGTATGCAGGACTTGGGGTCTAGGGATCCGGCCGTCACCAGCGTGCGGAAGGGACCGTTCTGCACGTTCATCGACTCCAGCTCGACCCTGACTGTGTAGAGAGCTGAGAGGGTGGCGAAGTACGAGGACTCGTAGACTCCCGCCCCCCACGTCAAGTTGGAGCAGGGGGTGGTCGAGCAGTCATCTACCCTGAGGTTCGTGACCACCTGCGAGAAGTCCTGGGCGCGGCGGACCAGCTGAGAAGTGAAGCTGGCTCCACCCTGAGTCACCAGGTTGCCGTAGGAGTCTCGAGTCTCCATGGCAAAGTTGACGCTCACTCCAGCTCCGCTCACCTGCGGGAGGCCGAAAACCCTGGAGGTCTGGGCAGAGATGGGCCCTGCTACTACTTGGAGGAGGAAGGAGCCACCAGCCACGTAGGCGTCCTGAAGGAGGATCCTGAGCTGGTAGGAGTCGGCTACAGTCGGGGTCCACTCGGCGAGGAAGGTGGAGTCTTGGTTGTCAGTCACGTTGGCGACGATGCAGAGATCCTGAGGAGTGTTGGGGAGCCCTGTGAGGAGATTGCAGCTGGAGGGACAGACGGGGAAGCATCGCTGACCGAGACCTGAGGCATGTCAGGCTAGGAGAGGGAGGATGAGGAGGGAGGGAGCGAAGAAGCGGGATTATGAGAAGGAGAAGGGAGAGAAGGGGGGGGGGGGGGGAGAAGAGAGGGAGAGAGTGGGAGAGGAGGTGTAGGGGGGTTGTAACAACTCACTTGCAAGGTAAACAACTACTCGCTGAGTTTCTCTGAACGGATCGTTGCGAACCTCGTTGCCAAACCGATCGAGCACTTGGAGCTGCAGCCAGCTCTTCGTCCCTGCCACGATTCTAGATTGGTTCGAGGAGGAGGAGGAGGAGGAGGAGGCGGTGATGAGCGGAGTTGTAATTATGCACGAGTTGGGATCGGCGGCTGCTGGCTTGACAGTAGAGGAGAAGGGAGATCCTTGGACATGAACGTCGTTGATCTTGAACTCGATGATGTAAGAGCCAGCGGCGACGACCGAGGAAGCAAGAGTTGCGATGCCTCCAGTGCAAGTCATGTTCTTTGAGACGATAAGCTGATTGTTTGCTCCATCCACCAGCTTCCAGAGGTAGAACATGACGAAGTTGGAGCTGCAGGAGAGCAGCTGGTTCATGAACTGATCCCTCAGCTGGACTCTGAAATCAGCCACCCATGGAGCAGTGTTCTCTCCCACGATGGAGGTGAGGAGGGAGGAGGAAGGGCCGTACGCGAAGTTCGGGATGATCATGACCTCCCTGTCCACCACCGTTTCTAGCCCGAGCGTTAGGAAGAGTGAGAAGTTGCCGGTCACAGACACGTTGAAGGAGGCGAAGTAAGAGCCGTTGCCAAGGTCCCTGATTGACCCGTCGTAGTTCCTCCCGTAGCTCCCCAGCAGCTTCACCTGGAAGTTGTCTCCTCCCTTGGTCAGGCGGTTTGAGTACTTATCTAGAGCCTCGATCCTGAAAGTTGTCTGCTTGCCAGCTGTGAAGATGTCATACCGCTCGACCCACGTCTTGCTGGCATCCGCCTTGTTGGCTCGGATCTCGGTGGAGTACACCCCGATAGTCTTGTTCATCATCATCACCAACATGCGGTAGACTCCCGACAGCGTCAGCGTGTACGAGCAGTAGAACATAGACTCCGAAGCCACGAACTGCGTGGAGGCATGCAGGGGAGCAGTGTCAGGTTGAGCAAGGAGTACAAGCTCGACGTCGAGCTCGGGGATGGGAGGACAGAGCTTCTGCGAGCATGGGGGGTTGCCAAAGCGGTCGGTCGTCCTGACTCGGAAGAGCCCAACGTCTCCAGCTGAACGGTTGGCGAGCCCGACGATCTGGGCGGAGGAGGGATGGAGGAGAGCACCGTAGACCTCCCGCTGCTGCTGCAGGATGATCGAGTCGTCGATAGAAATCTGCAATGAGTACATGCCAGCCCGGGTCGCCTGGTAGGTGATGGAGAATGTTCCGTCGTTGTCATGCCAGGATCGAGAGAAGGAGGAGGTCTTGTAGCACAGGGAGGGTGGGCAAGCGAAGGAGCAGGTGGGAGAGCTGAAGTTGAGAGAAGCGTTGACGCACTTGTACATGTCGATGGTGGTCTTGCAGTCCTCAGGGAAGTTGACAAGTGAGTCGCTGCAAAACTGGCCAAGGATGGTGGTAGAAACATCCTGGTCGACGCTCCTTACCTTCACCATCATCCTCTCTGTCGCGATCCCTTGCGTCAGTTGGTTGTTGAACGCATCTCGAAGCTGGAGGCTGATGACGTGGTTCATGCTCGCCAGTCCCGCGCCCATGCCGCAGGAAACCTCATCGAAGATGGCGTTGCCGACTTGCATGGAGGAGGACGGGAGGTAGTCTTGGCCGACCTTGACGACTGACTTGCTGTCACAGAAGATCAGAGTGTTGGGCAGAGAAAGAGCCCCTGGGCTGACTTTGACCACAAAGGGCGTCAGGAGCAGCCGGAAGGGAGAGGCCTGGAAAAAGTTGAGGTTGTGCCGGAGGGTTTGGCTGGCTGCGATGTAGTCGTTCACGGTTGACAGGCGATGCGGCAAACTGACGCCGTCGACTATGACAGCATAGCTCTTGTAGAAACCGTCCGAGGCACTCGCCTGCTCCTGCAGCTGGATCGCTATCGTGTCCTGGCTGATTCCCGTCCCGTTCCAGGACGAGGAGATCATGGTATCGTCGAGGGAGAGGAGGAGGGCGTGCGGTACAGCCCTTTGCGGAGTGAATTGGAAGGAGTAGAGCCCAGTGTTGGTGTCCTGAACTTGTACGCCTTGGACCATGATGGAGTCTTGACCGGGAGACGACAAAAAGCTCTCACTGACCACCTGGGCGGTGACCTTCCTTCCTCCTGCGTTCGGCCTTGTGGTCAGTTCTAGAACGTCCGAAGGGAAGGAAATGGGGAACAAGGAGGTAGCGAAGTATCGGAGCAAGGAGCAAAGAGCAAGTTGCCTTAGGAAGGGAGGGAGAGCTAGGGCAGAAGAGGAGGTGAGAGGGAAGTCCAGCAGAGGGCGCTGAAGGAGAGGAGGAAAGGAGTATAAGGAGGAAGGAACAAGGAGGGGGACTGATATCCACCTTTCCTGACGTCGATTCCTTGAGAGCTCCTCAGCTGGATCTGGACTGACACCGGAACCCCAGCTGAATACGATGTTGCCAAGTCCGTCACGACGCTGGACTTGCCCGCCACCGCCGTCGCATCGGTTACGATCTGGACGGTGAAGGGGCTTCCGGGGACGTGGACGTCGTTGACGACCACGTTGATAGTCGTGGTACCAGCGCAAGACGAGGAGAAGCAGGTGCAGCTCGAGCAGTCGACCTGGCATGCCCCGATGCTCGGAGGCTTCGTGCAGAGCAGTCCAGCATCATCGGAGGAGCAGTCTCCCCGCCCGCAGTAGTAGCCGACGTAGCGGCCCGCAAAGTTCCCGCCCTCCTGCCTGGGGAGGGCCGACGTCTCCGTCTTGGCACGGTAGACCAGCACCCTGTCCACCTGCAGCCTGGCGCTCGTTCGAGGGTTGAAGAACTGATCCTTGGTGATGACGGTGATGACTCCCTGGGACCCCAGCACAGCCCCAACAAGGCCGCTGCCTCCTACCTCCGTGTTCTCAGCTCGCAGGTTGGCGGGCAGGACCTCTACAGTGAAGGGGCTCCCAAGAACGTGGACGGCGATGCCCTGGACGATGGAGTAGACGGATGCTCGCCATGCTCCCGCTGCCTCCAACGTGCTCGTGAGCGCCGCATCCTTGCCCGTGGGCTTCTTGGGGATGACGCTGCCTGTCAAGAGATCCGAGCTCCAGGAGGGGAGGAGGTCGAAGTTCCAGCCAGTGCAAGAGGAGGCCTCGCAGCAGCAGTCGCTAGTAGCAAAGGAGTCCTTGGCAATGAGCTGGAAGGAGCCTTGAAGGCCAGCGGTAAGGATGGAGTAGGAGGTGAGGGTAATGTCGGAGAAGAGAGGAGAAGCGCGGACGACAGGCACGTCTATCAGCGGGCTCGAGGTCAGCGACCCGTTCACCAGCCTCATGACTCCGACTTGCAGGCCTCTGAGCCTTGCGTTGATCTCGTACAGACCGTCTATCTTGGTCAGGTACGAGGCGACGTAGGAACCGTTTCCAAGGTCCACCAGTTGAGTTTCTGCTTGGACAGGGCCCATCATGTCAACGCTGAACCGATCTCCTCCTGTTGTCTTCTGGTTTCCGAACTCATCTCGGGCTACTAGCTGGAACGACCCCCACAGTCCAGCCGTCCCCTGTACTGTCCCTCCTCCCACAGTCTCCAGGCCGCTTGCTCCAACCTTGAGCACGAGCCCTGAGGTCTGGGCTGAGGAGAGCGTGGAGGACTGGCCTTGGAGGAGGAACTGACTTCCTGCTCCTCCCACCCGCTCCCCGTCGATCAGGACGGAGATCTGATAGACGGCAGAGATGGTGAGGAAATAGTTTACATTGTAACTTCCGTCGCCGTTGTCCGTGATGGACGTCGGTCGGAAACTCCTGGAGCTCTCGTTCCAATTAAGTTGAACGAATTTCTCCTGGAGTAGGTCAAAGGCTACGGAGACGCTGGCGTTTCCCATTCTGTAGCGGTTCATGAACTTGTCGTAGGTGACTACCTCGAAGGCGGAGGAGATTCCGGCAACAAAAGCGGAGGCCCCGACTCCTCTCAGCTCAGTGTTGTTCTTGTGCAGGGTGTCAAACTTGACGCTGACCTTCCACGGTTGCCCATCCCCGATCTTGTCCAGCTGGTTGGTGATCTGGCTCAGGAGGTAGGTCTCGATGATGTACTCGCCAGAGACAGTGAGGATGAAGTTGAAGGTGTACAGGGACGTTCCTCCCTTGATCAGCGAGACGCACTGAGAGAGGTCGGGCTGGTTGGCAGAGGAAGGGGAGGAGGAGCAGGTTGCGATGTACACTGGCCCCCTGATGTTAGCGATGAGGGTCTCGTTTGTGGCCTTCTCGTGCTTGTTTCCAAACTTGTCCACCGGCTGCACAGAGAAAGACTTCAGCTCTCCCGCCCGGACTTGGGTGAACATGGCGGAGGAGACGTAGGAGATGCTGCCCACGGCGAAGGATGGAACGATGTAGACGACGAGAGGAGAGTTCTTGATGTCCAGTTGGTTGATCTTCACATGGACTTGCAAGGGACCAGTCGTCTTTGTTCCTCCGCAGACAACGTTGAAGGCACCTGAGTCAGCCTGAACAATCTCACAGGAGAGTGCAGACACATCGACGGCTCCCTCGACGGTAACGGTGAGCAAGGAGCTCTGGATATCGGTGATCGCATTATAGTAGGCGTCCTTGAAGACAAGCGGGAAGGACTGACGCGTTCCAGCGGTGATGTTCTTAACTTCATAGACGGTATTGATGAGGCTGGTCAGCTGGGAGACCGGGCCCGGAATCACTGAGATAGTGAAAGGTGACTTTATGACCTGAACTGCTCCGTCCATGACTGTGACTTCATGGCTGGAAGATTGCTTGACTGTGAAGGAAATTTTGAAAGTACCGTCTGTGTCAACGACGACGTCGGCAGCAAACTGATACAGGGCGACTCCTGTGCCGTAAGAGACCGTACATGCAAGCGTCTTGGTGGGATATTTTTGCGCGTCTTGAACATTGCCGAAGCGATCTTTGATCTGCAGCCAGAGTCAGAAGGCACAGAGAAAGTGAAAGTCAAAGTTTGATGATGACGATGATGTTGATGATGATGATCATCATCATGGGGAGGAGGAAGAGGACAACCCAACAAAGGAGCCAACAAGGTCTCACCTGCACACTGAAGGTGACACGAGATCCGGCAGTGAAGATGTTGGAGGGTGGCAGGACGGCAGTGGAGGTGCGGGGAAAGGGATCAGCCGGGACGATGGTGAGCTGGTAGGGAGCGTTAAGAATGGGCAGAGCTCCGCCTCCTCCATCGATGTTGACGGTCAGGGAGTAGGTGCTGGAGGAGGTGATGGAGAAGCTGACGAGAAAAGTGCCGTCAAGGTTGTCCTGCAGCGTTGGCTTGACGCTGTCGGTGGAGAGGGCAACGGAAGCGACGCCAGGGGAGACTGAGGGGAGGGTGACTCCGTAGCGGTTGCGAACGACGAGAAGAGCCTGGAAGGTATCGCCTGCTGTGACGGAGAAGGAGGTAGGAACGATGACGTTGGCTACTTCCATGGTGCACTTGGATGCTACTGGAAGCTTGTCCTCCGGGCTTGCAAAGAGGCGGAAGGGAGACCTGGAGAGAGGAGAGGAGAGGAGAGGAGAGGAGAGGAGAGGAGAGGAGAGGAGAGGAGAGGAGAGAAATGTCAGAATTCAGTTGCATTCAGACAAAAGAGAGATCGAGCTCAAGAGAAGAGAAACAATCAAAGAGGGAAAGAGTCCAACAAGGACAACAAACAACTCAAGCTTCCTCTTGTCATGCATATCATTGTTGTCAACAACAGGAAGTTTCTTGACAGACTCTCACCCATAGATATGCTGGTCATTCACCAAGGCGCTCACTGAAAAGTTCCCCTGCTCGCTCAACGTGTATTGGATGGAGTAAGAGGCGTCTTCATTCAGCCTTAACTCCACAGGAATCGGCTGAGTGCTCCCTGCCTCGAACTTGATCACAGTCTGTGAGAACTTCTGACGGACTCCGTAGGAGGTTCCTGCGGGGAGGCGATCAGAAAGGAGCAGTAGGAGGAAGCAGAGAGGCAGGAAGGGTGCGGATTATGAGGAAGGACGATGGGATGAAACACGCGATAAGAAGAATTGGGTGAGAAGAGATTGTTCCGGGCTAGCAGAAGAGAAGGCAAAGGGAGCAGGTATCAAAGCAGGGAAGTAGGGGGGGGGGCGAAGAGGGAAACGAAAAGATGGGGGAGGAGGAGGAGGAGGAGGAGGAGGAGGAGGAGAAAGGACGGAAAACACTCGCAAACAAGGCGCAGCGAGCACAGCGCGGGAGCGAGCTGAGCACCTGATCCCAGGTTGTAGAAGACGAGACGGAGGGAAGCAGCGCCCTGGCTGATGTCGCAGCTGTCAACTGCGCACAGCTCGAGGGAGGTGAGGGTGTTGGTGATGACGTTGCCGTACATGTCGCGCAGATTCAGCGTCATGCTACTCTCCTTGTTTACAGTGCAAACCCTCGATCCCTCCCCGGAGATGAGAGTCTGGGGGGCCCACACGCTGCTGGCAAACACGAAGAGGCTGAGGGGGCTGCGGATCGGCCTTGCCGCCCCCACGTCCACGCCGTTGCAGGTGACCCGAAGGGTATACTGCCCGCTGACTGTGAGGCGGTAAGAGAGAGTGTAGTTGCCGAAGCCCGCGCTCCTGATGCTGCAGTTCTGCTGCACCAAGACCGCTCCTCCTCCGCTCGTCAGGGTGACGGTGGCCATAAGAGGATCGTTGCCCTGGGTGCGGCGGTTCCCGAAGCGATCGAAGGACTGGAGGGAAAAGCTTGCGTTCTGCCCTGCACGGGCTGTGAGGAGGTTGTCTCCCGAGAGGAGGATGCTAGCGGGAAAGGCCGGGCCAGGGTTGATAAGGACGGAGAAGGGAGAGCCGAGGATGTGAACGAAGTCGTTGGTGAGTCCTCGTTCTATCCTGTAGACTGCCACAGTGTACCTTCCTGCTGCGGTGACCTGGTATGCTGCAAGGTAGGTTCCTGTTTCCTGGTCTCGGATGGAGCGGCGGAGGAGGGAGGCGTCTGTTCCTGCTGCTGTGTAGACGGACATGCTAGAGCTGAAGAAGTCTGCGATAAACTGGAGGAATGAGTCAGGACATGATGTGGGATGGTGCGGAAAGATCAAGAACAAGAAGTGAAAGGCGAGGTAGAGAGATATGAGAATGTGAGAAAAGTACGCCAAGAAACTGAGGAGAGGATGCGGGAAGAGAGGCAAGAGAAGGGATATGGAGGAGGGAAGCGAAGGCGGAAGGCGAGAGGGAGGGAAGGAGGGCAGAGCAAGATGGCAGGGAGGCTGACAGGTCGAGTAGGAGGACTCAAGACAAGGACTCGTCAGACCTCCTTCTGGATGTCATCCCATGTCCCATGCTCCCGCTGGTTGCCCCACTTGTCTTTTGCTATGATCGTGAAAGTCGCGTCAACTCCAGCCTCCCGACGGTGATGCCGTTCCCTACGGCCGTGCAGAGAGGAGGGAAGAGATCTGCGGGGACGACAGAGAAGAGGAAGGGAGAGAGGCGGATGCTGGTGCCTTGCAGGTCGACGACTGTCAGGTTGTACGTCCCTTTCTTGGTGATGTTGACTAAGATTGTAGACACGCCTTCCACCGACTTGTCGCTCCTGTAGAGGATGGAGGGACTGTAACTGTCTGCGTACGTGAGGAGGAGCGGAGGAGCTAGCATATCTCCCATGTTGCCGAACTCATCGACCGAGGTCACCATGAACGCGCTGTTCTCTCCTGCTGTCGCAACCCGCCGCGTCCTGTTGCATCCCTGTGGGTGTGTGCAGACGACATGCTCCGGGAAGGTCGGGAAGAAGTTGGACACTGTAGGATCGCCGGGGAGGAAAGAGATGTTGAGCGGGAAGCCCGCTGCGCTGACGTTCGCGGAGGAGAGGAGGACGCGGTACAGCCCTGCTTGCGTCACGAACAGCTCGCCAGTTATCACCCCAACTGAAGAGGAGTTGTAAACTTTCCCTGGGATCCAAGGACCTCCCCCGATGAGCTGGAGGGAGAGGGAGAGGGAGCCAGCGAAGGAGGAGGAGGTGAGCGGGTTGGCGAAGCTGTCCTTACCAAGGATCTGCATAAGGTTCTTGCCAACGCGGGGTTGACGACGTTGAAGGAGAAGACAGCCGTGTGGGAGATATCGAGCTGTCCAGGGAGCACAGAGATGTTTCTAGGGCTCCCGTCGATCTCTTCTCTCGCTCCCGCGGTGCCCGAGAGGAGGAAGATGTGTACTGCGAACGATCCCGAGCGGGTGGTCAGGTACCGGGCCACGTAACTCCCGTCCGCCTTATCCTCGACCTCCCCCGTCACTGTCACTTCCTGCGCCACAGAGCTGTCGGCTGCTACTCGCCAGCCTCCCTTGAGCTCGACCTGGTAGACGTCTCCTCCTCTCGTCTTGACGTTCCCGAACATGTCAGCAGACTGGATGAGGAAGGACGAGACTACTCCGACGGTAGTCGATGACAGAGCGGAACCGGAAGGCGCTGCATAGTGCGGAGAAGCTGAACCAGGGAGGACCGTCAGCTCCGACGGAGTTCCAGAAAGCTGAGTGCTGCCGTCGGAGCCAACTAGGCAGTACCTCCCGCTGACTGTGATGGTGTAGACTACGGCGTACGTTCCATCCTGCAGGTCGTTGACAACAGGGACGAACGTGGTCGCCTCTTGCCCCGCGCACGAGCGTAGGACGCTGATCTGCCAGTTGCCGGCCGAGGCTGCTGTCTTCCAATTCCCAAACGAGTCTCTGGTCTGAATGAAGAAGCTCCCTGCCATCCCTGCGGTGGCCAGGGTGAAGCCAAGTCCCCTAGGGATGCTGTTGGAGGCGTTCACTCCAGCTGAGATGACGGTGACGTTGAAGGGGGAGCCAACGACAGCCTTGCTGTCAAGGAAGACGTTCACTTTGTAACTCCCCGAGATCGACAGGAGGAAGGTCTGCCGGAAGAGCCCCGAGCCCAGGTCTTCGTATGTCGACGAGGCGAGGAGCACTTGAGACGACAGGAAAGGAGTCACACTAAGGAGGAAGGAGCTGCTTAGGGAGTACTGGACGGAGTTCATGAACCTGTCGAAGCTTTTGATCAGGAAGCTGTGCTGGACTCCAGCCGTGATCAGCGTCAGCGACTTCCCGTCTGGCTCCACCTTGGAGAAGGCAGGGTCTGGAACGCCGGGGAAGACAGTGAAGGTGAACATGACAGGCGATACCGAAGCTCCGCTGAGGAACGCAGTCACGGCGTACGTCCCTGACTTGGTAGGGACGAAGTCGGCGAGGTACGTTCCTCCCTTGCAGCCGAAGTCTCCGAGGAGGGGGAGGACCTGGGAGCAAGAGGAAGGGATGGAAAGGTCGACGACAGCTGCAAGCCTACTTGGGCAAGGCGAGCAGACGCCGTTGCGAGGAGGGGAAGAGAGGCAGTCCGATCGGCTGATCGTCGACCCGTCAGGGAGGGAGCAATTGGAGCAGTTGCTGCAGTCAGCCCAGATGGGTGAGTAGACGAGGACGGAGAAGGGGTCGTCACCCGTAGTGCGCAGGTTCGAGAACTGTATGGTGGGTCATGGGAAACTTGAGCGCGAAACAAGGAGGCAAGGAGGTAAGAGAGGGATGAGGATAGGATGGGAGAGGAGGAGAGGAGGGGAGGAGGAGTGGGGGGAAGGAAGGGCAGTATTCAGAGGAAGCGGAAGAGAACGAGGAGGAAGAGAGGAGGATGGGAGAAGAGGAGAATGAGGAGGAGGAGGAGGGGAAGGAGGAGGAGAAGTTACCTTATCAAAGCCGTGGATCTTAAACCTCCAGTGTTCTCCTACAGTGCCAAGGGCAAGGATGTCTGTGCTGTTGACGATGCTTGTCTGCGATGCTGCTGGGCCCGCCACCACGATGAAGCTGACGGGGCTGTCAAGAATGTCCTGGCCCTGAAGACGAACGTGCGCGACGTATTGCCCTGCTTGAGTCTGGACACAAGTAAGAGAGAGGATGGACAATTTGAGTAGGGAAGAAGAAGAGGATGGGGGAGGGGAGAGGAGATAGAGGGAGATGGAGAAGAAGATTCAGAGGGAGGAGGGAGGGAGGAGGGAGGAGGGAGGAGGGAGGAGGGAGGAGGGAGGGAGGGAGGGAGGGAGGAGGGAGGGAGGGGAGGAGGGAGGAGGGAGGAGGGAGGAGGGAGGGAGGGAGGGAGGAGGGAGGGGAGGGAGGGAGGGAGGGAGGAGGGAGGGAGGGAGGAGGGAGGAGGGAGG